ACTCCTATCCTACTTTTACTTTGAAGGTGATTTTTGAAAAGTTGCATTTTTAAGGAAGTCTGACTGTTTTCTGCCTCCGTATCCCTCAGCAGGAAAAGGGACGAAAGAAACAGACCCTGAAAGGACCCGATGAAGAACTGGCCACGTTCAGCCACAAAAAGGAGGAAGGGCGGAGTTCAGTCTTCAGGTCTGGAAAAGTTAACAGTGAGCAGCAACTTCTACACTAGAAGGACAAGAGGCGAGGTTTTGCATCTGAAGTCTAGGGAGCTGGAGAACTAATTGTAGATCCTAAAGAAGTAACAACAACCTTTCTAGAAAATTAGAGGGTAGGAAAGGATAGACAATTTTTAAAATCCTTTTTAATCTTCTATATAATAATTCCAATAAGGGATTAAATCCTCATCTTTACAAGATAAATAGATACTGTTCCTGAATAAAATGAAAATAACCACCTTTGGGGTGGGGAGGGTAAGCCACTTAAATAACCTGGTTTCACTGGCAAAATTCTGCAGTTATGAATTTTGAAGGACTTTTAGTTAATGGCAACATAGCAATCAATTATAGCCCTGGCTGCTGTGGCTCAGTGGATTGAACCAGGCCTGCGAACTGAAAGGTCGCCAGTTCGATTCCCCGTCAGGGCGCATGCCTGGGTTTCACACTGGGTCCCCAGTTGGGGGCGTGTGAGAAGCGACCACTTGATATTTCCCTCACAAGTCAGTGTTTCTCTCCTCTCTTCCTCCCTCCCTTCCCCCTCTCTGAAAATAAATAAAATAAATCTACAAAAAGAAAGAGAAAAATAGCAATCAATTACAAAAAGGCAATAAGCTCTTTAAGAAATTTAAGACCACAAGTAAAAAAAAAATGCTGCTTACATCATAAAAAACAAGCCCTTACAGGACAGGGAGGCTGTGGAGAGGGGACAACAGGTGTCAGAATCAGCCAGGGAGCTTTTTCCACGAAACACACGTCCGCACTGTCCTCAGCCTGAACCATAATTTCCAAACTAAAATATAAATACACACATATAAAGTGCCTACGTAGTTATGGCTCTAACTTGCCTTTTAACAATTCCTATTGCCATTTGAGGATAATGAACTAAAGAATTACCACTGATATTAATACAGGAAGATAATTAGAAAGAACCAAATTATTCCGTGTGTGGACAAGGCAGGATTCTGATGACCGCGTGCCCAGAACTGAGATGAGCACACCATTACCCACGGGACCGCTGTGCGAAAAAGAGGGGAGGAGGCGTGGTGAGAGCGTTTTCTGCTGTGTGCTCTAAAGATAACTTACGGAGGAAGGTACCTATCATCACATAGGAAAAAAGGCCACCGACGTACACGTAATTTTTATGCATATAACACTGATTCTAAATACAATTTAAACCAGAAGGACACCATTTAAACACACGTAACAAGACATGTACAAATACATGTACAGTTTCACACAGTTTCCAAACTCTAAAGAACTTTTTATGTTTCTCTTGGGAAGATAAGAAGAAGGGTGAGACAAGACAGTAGGGGAAGGGAAGACAGAGACGGAGATGGGAAGAAGGGAGATCTGACTGGAGGAAGCTTGGAGAGGAGTGTGTGCCTCAGGAGCTCTCCTGCTCGTCGGCCTGCATTCCGTTCGGCAGAGACGGACGCAGATTAAGGGGAAAGGGACGGCCCAGGTCTGGGACGATGTTTAACTATGTCCTCCCTGCTTTGGCATCCAATGAATGTATCTGCTACTCCTGTTGCTGCTGAATCAACGCAATCCCAAAATTCCGCCAGGTATATATGTGTATATGTGTATATATATATATATATATATATATATATATATATATATATATTCCAAGGCAAAGTCCCCTAAAAGTTAAAAGAAAGTGTTATGGGCCAACAGAAAATGTCAGTAGACAATACACCCAGAAAATGATCAAAATCTGAAGATTCTGGTGCAAGGAATTTACTTGTTAATGTCAGAGTTCAAAAAATACAGTCATTAGTAGTAGTATTTATTAAGTGCTTTTTAGACTATATCAAGCCATTTCCATGTGCTGTATCACATGTAATCAGCACAACCACCCTATGAGGTAGGTGGCTCCAATCCAAATTTTAGAGCTGAGAGAATTGACGCTTATAGAAAAGAAGCGATTTGTCTAAAGCCACAGAGCTGTAGAGGCAGGAAGTAAGGCTAAGCCTAATACCAGAGCCTGAGCTAAAGTCTACGCAATATTTTAAACTCAAACTAGTAAGTACTTTCAGATGTTTAGGGCATAACACGACAAAATGTGTCCAAAGTAAAATTTTAAATATGTAATTATACCAGAAAGATGGAAGGAATTTCAACAGTGTCACTAAGTACAACGGGTCTAAGAAAAAGCATGCAACTGGCAGTTGTTGTGCAGTGACGGCGAGTTAGAGCGGACGGCAGCACATAATTCAAAAGTCTGCTTCAGAACTGTCACGGGAAAGTTTCAGACATGAACAACAGCATCCAAGCAAGGGAACCAACGACAATAATATCAACACCCAGAAAGTTATTCTAAAGTTTTGGAAGAGGAAAGCTCAAACAGTTTGATTATTTCATGCTAAAGTAGAATATACACCTTAGCCATGGGGGGCGGGGAGAGACGGGTAGAGGTTCATCCAGTCTTCTCAAACTGCCAAGAATAAGTCTCCCTAATCTGTTCGTTGGAGAGGCTGCCAGCAAGATTACTTTCCCTGGCAGTTCACACAGACAAGCAGCAGAAATGAGAGACTGGAGTCTTCAGAGATCTCAGCAGATACCCAACAGGAACGCTCGGGCCCCCGCCTGACATGAAAAGAGCTCCTTTGCCTCCATGAACTTGTAAAAAGGCCACGGTTTACAGAACCCAATCAGGCATTCCTATGGGTAACTAAGATAAGTCAAAGTAAGGAAGTCAAAGTCCCACCGTTCTCCAGAACCTCAGGCTTCTAAATGAAGAATATCACAGATAAACAACTCTTCCTCCCTCCCCGCCACCCACTTAGAGGCCTATACAAATACAAATACCGGTACATTCTGGTCTTAGAATGGTACATTCTGGTCTTAGAATAGCGGATGTGAGCATTGAAAGAGAAAGGCAATGAAACTATTTGTAAGGGAAGGCCTTTCCCTCTCCACTATAGGAAGGCGGCATTTGGAGACAAGACCACGGAACTCTAACAGGTAACGGAGCAAGACGAGGCTCACCTCCAATCATGCAGGTGGTGAAGAATTCGGGGACTGTCCATAAAAGTAGGGACTGTGGTCACACTGACATGGCATTCTACTATAGATTTGCCAATGTGAAGGGGCCTTTTACACCTGCGCAGAAAAGAATTGAACGCCCATCTATACACAGTGAGTGCTCAATAAAAACTATTAACACAGGCCCATACTAATAAGCTTTCATAATACAAAACAAGACAGCCATGAATACGTATTTTTAAAAACTTTCTTGGAAGCACGATTAATTCAGAAAATTAATGGAGCCCTGCCCAGTATGGTTTAGTTGGTTGGGTGTCATCCTGCGAAGCAAAGGGTTGCAGGTTCAGTCCCCGGGTGCGTCCGAGAAGCAACTGATCGGTGTTTCTCATAGAGATGTTTCCCTCCCTCCCTTTCTCCCTCCCGCCCCCTCTCTCTAAAAAATAAACAAATAAATAAAATAAAAATTTTTTTAAAAAGAAAGAAAACTAATGGAGATTTGAAAAAATGGGAGGACATTAGGTTAAATATCTTTTATCTGAAAAAGTCACGGGACAAGGAGCAGGTGACTCAACAGTGGACAGCACTGCTCCTCCGGAAACGCAGACGAATACCAGAGACAATAAAAAGGACACACTGAGGGCCTAATAATGAACAGAAAACAATGCACACTGGTGAACATACATACAGGGCTAGGGAGACAACTCGGAAAAATATTAACTTGAAAAACTGAAGAGAAAAATACATTTATAAGTACAGTAATAAAAAAAAAATAAAAAACTGAGAACACGAAATGAACACCCAAACCTGAGTACAGCACGAGAACTTTTTGTGTGTGCCTAATCAAGGGGACCGAGCAGAAGGAAGCACATGGGTCCAGCATACACGTGTCCGTGGAAACAGTCAAAGCTTTCACGCTCCTGAGCAAAGAAGAGAGGTTTCCAGGAACGCTCGGAGCTCCCATCACAGAAAACTGTCCCTAACTAAGAAGGGACAATGAAGAGGAGGTACAGGGACGAAAGGCACGGCCCCTGGCCTCCAGGACTTCTGAGGTCTACACTGGAGACTGATTCCAGTGCTGGCAGGAAACTGGTGCGGCAGAAGCTCCAGGAGCCTGGGACCTTCACGGACACCCAGGTTATATGGAAGTTAGAAAACACAGGCTAACAAGTGAACAAGAGTTCTCTTTCTTGAGATTAAAAATATATTTTTTAAAGATTTTATTTATTTATTTATAGAGAGGGAAGAGGAGAGAGAGGAAGAGAGAGAGAGAGGGAGAGAGAGAAACATCAATGTGCAGGTCATGGCCTACAACCCAGGCATGTACCCTGACTGGGAATCGAACCTGCAACACTTTGGTTCGCAGCCCGAGCTCAATCCACTGAGCTACGCCAGCCAGGTTGAGATTAAAAATATTTTAAAAAGCAGCCCCAGCTGGGTGGCTCTGTTGCTCGGAGCATCGTTCCGCACACCAAAAGGCTGCAGGTTCCATTTCTGGTCAGAGCGCGTACCTAGGTGCTGCTTCAACCCCCGGAAGGGGCGCATACAGCACGTAGGGGAGGCAACCAACAGGTGTTTCTCTCTCACATCGAAGTTTCTCCTCTTTCTCTCTCTCTCCCCAACCCCTCCCCTCTAAAATCCACGAACACATCCTTGGGTAGGGAAAAAATAAAACGAAGAAGAAACAAAAACACAGGCACATCAAGCAAGCCCACCCCCAGCTGAAAGGCGCACCCTTCCCGTCCGGCCTCCTGCAACAGACGTGCGCCGGCTGTGTCTGCCGTGCCCCGAGGACCACCTACCGTGCGGTAAGGTTATGTTGGCCCCGTCAATGATGGCTTGTGCCAGTTCATGGTCATTGCTCTCAAAAGCATGCGCCGCAGCCTTCAGGGCGTCCCAAATCTCCTTGCGGCCCTCAAAAGCCGGTGCGGTGTCCCAGAACTCATCCCTCTTGCTGCGCAGCTGCCCGTCTGTCATGGGGTAGTCGCTTTTCCATTTGGGCTTCTCCTTTTTCAGAGGCTGGTTGCGCCCTAAAGCGACTGAGAAGAAAAACAAAAGGCTGACATCAAAACCAAAATTTATAAAAGGTGTATGAGGTGTAAAAGGTGTGAAAGGTGCATCTGGTCCTTCCTCTTTGATTCTTCCGTCACCATGAGAGCTGGAGGCCACAGTCTGGGACCACGCGAGCGGATGGAGACAGTGGCGGCTCCCCCCAGCCCTTCCAGGGACAAGTGAGCAGGCCTTTTCCACTCGGCACGCCTTCTCCAGGTGGTTTTAAAAATTACCTGGGAAAGTTGTATTACGTGTTTCATCAGGCAATAAAGACAGGACTTAAAAAGAATGAAAGGGTGCCATCAAAGAGAGACTTTGCGAAGGAAGATGCTGGGAAAAACCAGATGGCAACAGCGGCTTACACCTCAGGACTCCGGCGCGGGAAGCCAGCAAGCAGAAGCACCGAGAAAGCCCGCAGACGGCAGGCTACTCCGTGGTGTCCCGAGAAGAGCGGCTGAACACTACCAGCTCCGCGAGGAAACCTGGTCCCAGGAATGCCCTCTCCAGCATCCCACTTGGGACTTCAGTCAAGGAGCCGGGGACACCCTGCTCTGAGACTCACACAAGAGCTAATGCAGAAAGGGGGCAGGATCAATGCTTCCCTCTCTGGAGGAGCTAGGTTTGAAACAGGTGACCCTTGCGACTTGGCCAAGGGAGAAGCGCCCCACCACGGCAGCGGAAGAACTACAACACCCTACTTTAGCTTCAGCCCAAGAGGGGGGTAAAAAAAAAGAGGGTATAAACCCACTCCTGTTTCACCCGAAGTGGCAGCACGGCCCCTTAGAGAATGTGGCACCGTAGAAGCGCTAAAACAAGACGGATGCAGCCTCTCTGCCCTGGGGTCCTCACCTGGAGGGGGCAGGGTCACCGAGCTCACACTGACACGCAGAACCATTCCTGCCTTCTGCAGTGCCACAGACAAGAAACAGTCTGATGGGTGGACGAAAGGACAGGTAAAAAGCCGACGGAGCTCGATGACGTCTGGTTAAGAGTAGGAGGACGTAAACGACAGGGCAGGTGGGAAGGAGAGGGTGTGTGTCAGAATCCAACGTTCTGTATTTAATTGTAGGAAGAACACTAATTTAAAAGAAATTACTCACAAAGTGGTTCCAAAGAATCCATGAGATTAACTCCTCCCTCACTGACCCAGGAGGGCCAAATGAAATGTGGGCTCTTCATTACAGAAACAAAACAAGATGACTCCAGCCCCCAGGCAATCTCGGCTTCCTCTCCGGGACTGCGTTCCCAGAAGACAGGACCAGAACTAATGCCGCACAGCCTGCCCGGCTGGATACCTGGATTAAACCTCGCTCTCTTCCCCCGTCTGGCCACTTCGCCTCCAGGCAGCGCCCCGGACCGCGCCCCCTCCCCTCCAGAGCGGCACCCCACGCCACCGCCAGCTGCTTTTCTCTCAGAACACTCAATACTTTGACTCGCTGTACTTTTTGGCCCTGTAACTTGTGCTAGTGAAATGGAAACCAGTTGAGTTCTGAAAGGGGACGGATACCAGAGTAGGACAACTATTTAGTAGCAGGTATAATTCAAACCTGAGAAACACAATCTACTAATGACTTCTCACTGTGTTTTCCAAATAATACAGATAAATGGAGGTAAAGCATTATTCTCCAAACGGTGCTCTGAACGTGCGAGATAATCACAATCCACCCCCTCCTGATTCTGGCAACAAAGTGAAATGAAAGGTAAATTTTATTTTCTGCTACATTAACCTTTAGGTGAGTCAAAAGTAAGTTAAGGAACGCACTAAGCATGAGTCTACTGAACAGGGCGTGGAAGAATGGGACACGAAGATAGGGCACACACCTATTTTAATGAAGTTTCAGGTCCACCTGAGTGGTTCCGGACAACTGTCTAGCCTCATTGGGTCTAAATGGTTTGGAGAGACAGACTTGGTATAATCTGTCAGTGTGAGAATCACAGGCAAAGGCAAAACCAGCAGCAAAACCTGCACAACCTCAGCCCTCGAACCCAACAAACTGATAGAGGCCCTCAAACAAAAGGGCCCAACAGGAAAACCACCTCACAGTAAACGCAGAAAATACTTCGCAATAAAAGCATGTATCTTCCGTACAAATATGAGGCAGCTTCACTGACGCCCCCGGGTCTGCAGAAGCACGAGAGCAAATCCCACAGAAAGGACAGGCGATGCACTATGCTGCATGAGGGTCATCATCATTCCACATCCATTTCCACATCTTCGTGCTGCCAAAGGTTCCAAAGTAAATACTTTGTGCAAAAAGTAAGTAAGACAGCCACACCTGGCTGGTGTGGCTCAGTGGACCGTGCGCCAGACTGTGACCTGGCAGGTCACCGGTTCAATTCCCAGTCAGGGCACATGCCTGGGTAGCAGGCCAGGTCCCCAGTGGGGGGCACACGAGAGGGAACCAGACAGTGTGATGTTTCTCTCCCTCTCTTTTTCCCTCCATCCCCCCTCTCTAAAAAATAAATAAATAAAAGCTTTTAAAAAAAGTAAATAAGATAAAAATAAAAGTTTGTGGCATGAAGTAAGCTTGGTTTTATCTGTCTGGATCCTCCTTATTTTTCCCTATGTCACAAACATATGAGGATGTAATACAGAATATCTGACTATCAAATGTTCATTATTAAAATACTTAAAACTCTGGGGGCATAAAATACTATTTTAGAGAAACCACCGAGCAATTGCGGAATTTTCACTGCAAAATATGAGGTTAAAAGCTTCATGTTAAAGAAATTAAATGTAGTTTATTGCCTAACTTACCTTTGCTAAATGAACTGAGGAAATAAAAAGAAACATTTAGCAAAAGACTTTAAACTTACGCTCCCACGAAAACATAAATATTTAGGGTTGTTATGAGGATTTAATAAGTTAGTATTTGTAAACTACATAGAACAGTGATTAGTATATAATAAAACTGTAAGTAAATATTTAAGTAAACCTTCCTAATCTTAAAAAGAATTTTTTGTAATTATGCACTTCCTTTGCATTTATCGGCCTACATATTCTAAGAATTTGCTCACCAAATCTTGCATTTTTCTTAAGATTTTATTTATTTATTTTTAGAGAGGGAACGGAGGGAGAAAGAGAGAGAGAGAAACATCAATGTGTGGTTACTGGGGGCCGTGGCCTGCAACCCAGGCATGTGCCCTGATGAGGAATCGAACCTGCAATGCTTTGGTTCGCAGCCCACGCTCAATCCACTGAGCTACGCCAGCCAGGGCCCAAATATTGCATTTTGATTTAGCTGATATCATGCATTTCATTTCACTCAGAAATAAAATCTGCATTTCTGAAGACAACTGGATACGGACATCAGCCCAGGAGATAACCAGGAGCTAAGTAGCTAAGTCTGCACCAAGTCAAGCATTTCCGATGATGCAGAAACAGATGTAAAATAGGCACACTCAATTAGATTGTATTTTACGCTCTGAAACTTTCAGACGTATCTGTTTCACACATCCGACTCCTGATACTAAAGGAGATGCTCAGTATCATTCAAATATCTGGGACTAAGCACTGAGCTCTGACAATGAATTTAAAGGCAGGAAACAGCTCTTATTTACCAAATATGCTTCCAAATCTTTAAATTGCAGGCAAGCAACCTTATACTTAGTTTCTATGGTTTAATATAGAAGGAAGAAAATTAAAGAAATCTAATTTTTAGAGAGCAATCTAAGTTACTTCAGAGAACACCAGATTTTTGCCGGGTACAATGCGCTCGCGTGCGCACCGCGCACCCACGTTTCTGTGCGCATTATACACGGGATTACTGTGCTCATTACACCCATGTATGTAATCACTATACCCACGTCTGATTCGCATCCTTCTTTTTCCCTAAAAATTGTGGGCAAAAAAGTGCACAATATACACGGCAAAATACAGTGCTTTTCCTACCAAGCCACGTTAACTTCGAAACTTTACCAAAATCTCATCTTCCCAAAAGCCCCTTGACCACATTCATCTACTCCTTATCTTTCCTCGTGACCTTCCGACATTCCTCCCCACTCTACAACAAATATAATGGCACTAACATGGAAAAAAAATCAAGAAAGTCTTGCTTCTCAGATCTAAACAGAAACATAATCTTCAATATTTTTACTGCACAATTTGGAATGCATTTTGAAAAAACAAATTTTGACATTTTATTGATTAAAAACAATGATTTCCAAAGTGAAATCTGTTTGTAGTCATTTTCCTGCTTTTGGCCCCTCTTTGAAAACCTGTTTTAATCATTGGACTCTTCAAATGAAGGAACAAGAGGCCGTAATGCGTAGATAGGGTAAATACCAAAATACGACTCAAGGGATGATGGCTTTGACCAGCAGGAAACTGACAGCACAGGCGTCCCTGACACGGCAGCCCAGAGGGGAAAAGGAATACTGAAAGAGATCGCCATCAAAGGACAAAACGCTGTCGTCAAGGCTTCTGAAGACCTGAAGGCAGCAAGGACTAGGGGAGGGGGAATGCTCCTGCAGTCGAGAACGACTCTCAAGACCATGGAAATGAAAGGAAAATTTCCCTGACACTCTTAAGAGTTAAGAATAGATCCCACAGAATCATTCCCTAACAGACTGTGCTAGCCTAAAAGGATTCTCGTAAAATATTTTATTCTCATGTAAATTTGGAATGCACTATATATACACGCGTTTCGAAAAAATTGCTTCTCGAACAGTTTTCTGGAATGATGTAAGTTCAAGAACCGAGGCTCCACGTGCTGGCAGTTGACACGTGAACAAGTTGGGGGTGGGGGCAGGGGGTGCCAACCTCCATGCAGTCAAAAATCTACACATGACCTTTGACCCCTCCCCCAAAACATAACTATTAAGTAGCCTACTATTGACCAGGAGCCTTTTCAGTAACATAAACTATTGATTAACACATATTTGTATCTTACATGCATTATGTACTGTACTCTCACGATAAAGTAAGAAAAAAATGTTATTAAGAAAATCAGCCCTGGCTGGTGTAGCTCAATGGATTGAGTGCGGG